GTTAGTTACATGCCGCCTCACTGCCAAGTACCATAAAAAAAAAACAAAAAAAAAACGTAGTGTCAAAAAAGTTATCATGAAAAGTATTGCAGCTTATCATATATCCATTGCACTGGCCCTTATAGCCAAGGTTGTCACCTATACGAATAGCCCACAAGGACACTACCTAGCAAAGGTACAACGACAAAGTGAATTTAAAAAAAAAAAACTGTTTCGAGTTTTATTCCTTGTTGTTGACCACTTATTTCATAGAAAAACAGGTGCTTGAACCCCCCACGCACTGCACGGCGTGTAGAAACTGTCATACAGGAATGCCAAGAGGACGTGAAGAACAAACTTATAAGAGGTAAGAATTTTTTCGGAAAATCTTTGTTTTTTTTTTTAGTTTTCAATGAACAACAAAAACCACTTCCCGTAGAGGCCTATCAAATGCTAAAAGAAGAAGTTTACAAAGGTTATCAACCTTTGGATGCCAATGAAGACAACATGCAGTTTATGACAGATGTGTCCGATTCAGCGCCACATGAAGCCATAGGTCAGGTGTCAGGTGGCTCTTCAGCAGGCTCTACTGTGTCAGCTTATTCGTCATCTTCGAATGCGGGTTTTGAATTGCCGTCGGGTTACGATACCTATGAAGTTGATTCATCCAAGCGACGAGTGACTCGCTTACTGCATCATATTCGTCGTATCGCACATGACCCGGCCACCAACATTATTTATCATCCCACGTTGGTGCCTTTCGAGGACAAACGGATAGCGGGCGTAAGTATTCTTCTTTATAATTGCAAAGTTTACATAATTTTAATACTCGAATATACTTACTACATATGGGTATTTCCTGGAAAGTGTCAACCAAGAGCAAAAAAATAAAATTTTGTTGGGACAAAGTTTATAGATGCCAATCGACAACTACAAATTTTTTTCTTTCATTCACCAAAATATTGGACTAATTGGTCCATTCTATTTCAAGATATTTGCACCTTTCCTTTTCAAACATTTTTTTTTTTCGGAGAAATCATACCTTCCAGAAAGCCTACATAATTTTGGTACACGATTAAAAAGTTTTGGAGCTCTATACAAAAATTTAGTATAGCTTATGTTCCGTAAACTAAAATATGAGGAACCGTCTAAAATTAAATTACAAATTGTGATTTTTTTCAAGCGTTCGGACGCAAAATATGCTTTACATGTAAAAAAAAAGTCGTAACGTTTACTACATTTTTCAAAATTTTAATACAAAAGCTAGTTTTGGTTACTCCGAACGCTTCCAATAATTTTTGTTCATTTCTGCTTGTACGAAGACATGGCTTCATGACGGCTGAGAGAGCAATGAAGTGGAGACGAAATTTGAAGAAAGATGAAGAAAAGTGGGCGGAATATAAAAAAGGGAGTTCGAAAGAAAAAAACTATGGAAGACAAATTAAAAATGATTATGTTGTGGCAAAAAAGCACCAAAGTATAAAAGTAGGCAATAAAGCCATAAAAAAAAGTTGAAAAAGCATTAAGAAAAATTTATGAGACAAATATGATAGTGAAAATGAGGAAGCAAAATGGGAAAATTAAGACCCTAAATTAATGAAAATTTTACAAGCCGCAGTAAGAAAAGAAACATTGTTAAGTAAGCAAGAATTGCCTGTAGCAAAGCGCTACATGGACTTGACAGTAAACGAAGCATATCAGCTTTTTAAAAACGAATTCAAGGATTTGGATATTAGCAAAGCAAAATTTTATGCTAGCGGACCAGTATCAACGGAATTAAGGTCAATTGACACTATTTCGCATACCGTTGCGAAATAAAGTTAATTAATTTATTATTACCTTTTCAAAAGCGAAATAAAATCGATTGACATTATTGCTCTTTCAAACATAAAATTTGCGTAGCCGCGCCGCGCAGCGCTCACACCAAATTTTTGTTGACTTCATTTCGCTTTTGGAAAGGAAATAATGTCAATTGACTTTATTTCGCACTTGTATGGGAAATAGTGTTAATTGACCTTATTTCCATTGATCTTGTTACCTGTCACCCACTAGCTACTCAGGCCTGCTTAGTATTATTTACAATAAAACCTCATATTCGCCTTAAAAAGCGAGTGTTTTTAAATTCTTAAACAAAAATTCTATCTCATTGGAAAAAATCGGAACGCCAGAACGGGAACGTCCGAACATCGTTGCACAGCTTTTATAGCTATTAAACATCGCACATAGGGGTACTTAGCCGATTTATGCGGCCAAAATTATTTTTATGAATATTTCAACTCGAAATGTTTAGAAAAGACGTGTTTTGACATATAGAATTGTAAATGTTTAAAATCAAGTAAATATAGGTTAAAACATTAACAGAGTTGCCACCTGTTAAAAATTTTGTTCAATTAGCTAAATTATGGGTATCAATGGAAATGGGTTTGAAAAGGCTTTATCTCTAAGCAATCGGCCTGGGTTCGAAAAATCAAATTCAACTTTAATTTAAGGAATTAATTAATTCAAATATGTATCACAGTATAGGTAAGAAACTAGTGTTTTCGAAGTGCAATTAATGCGGCAGTGTTACTTTTTATGAAAGAGCACCACGTTCTACACGAAAATTTGGGCGACTCTGCCTACAGCAACGTTCGAGGAACAAAATTTTGACAAACAGTTACTCGTCATTGGAAAATCAAAAGCAACATACAAATTTTTACTGCGCAATTTCTACAGCATTTTAGAAAATTTTCAGTTGAGCATCAGCGCCATGTCATCAGGAAAGCAAGTCTGCAATATTGCGGTAATTATTACGTAGCCCGAACGCACCCAATGTAATAAAACTAAATTTTTGTAACAATAAAAGTCTTATTTATCGTTAAGAGAATTTTGTATGTATTAACTTTGGAGTAAATTAGCGTCCTCAATTACTCAATTATCGGAGTTTTCGTACTTTCAACGTATTGCTTTTCCATACCATACGTGCAGCGAGTTTGGTACAAATTGATAAAGATAAATTGGTGCGCCAGGGTGGGAAATAAAGTCAATTGACATTATTACCCTTTTAAAAACGAAATAAAATCAATTGACTTTATTTCCCTTTCAAACATTAAATTTGCTTAGCTTCGCGGCGGCCCGCGTCAGCGCGCCAATGACTTTATTTCCAAATTTTTGTTGACTTTATTTCGCTTTTGAAAAGGTAATAATGTCAATTGACTTTATTTCGCACCAGGGTAGGAAATAAAGTCAATNTGTGGTTGTGTTGAAGTTATTCCAAGAATCGATTTTGAGTGAATTAGCTTCAGTAGTTATTGGTTTATCGCAGTTTTCGCGTTTCTGTAAATTACCGTTATATGGGAAGTGGGCGTGGTTATCGCCCGATTTCAAGAATTTTTAGCGGTTACGTTAGATATAGCCTAAGCAAGGCTCATACCGAGTTTGGTACGGATTAGTGAAGCGGATAGGTACTGAGATAGAGCATTTCATCATAAGTGGGTAGGGCCACTCCCATTTACTAAAAATTTTAAAAATAATAATCCTATATTGTTCCAAAATTTTACTTCACATACCAATTTTCGACAATTTGGATACAATATTTGCTGAAATATCGTAGATTTATCTAAATTG